TAAAGTAACCTTTGAAATCATTAACTCCCAACTTAACTACTGTTCAGCTAAGTTTTCGTTTTTAGATGATATAAAAGAATTATGTAATAATCATAAACTGAATATGAAAACCTTTAAGCTGGTTAAAAAAAAAGTAAAACTTAAAGTCTTAGAGAATGTAATTCCTGAAGCTACTCTTCATATTTTGGTACACGCGGCTCAATGTTGGAATGTATAAGAACAGCGAACAATTTTTTAAAAGACACTTGAAGAAAACATTCCTAAATAATACTTTTTTTTATCTCTTTTTCTTAGTTTGTGTTTTTACCTTGTAAATTTATTTTACAGACGGTGATTAATAAAATATTAAAAAAAAAAAATGATTGACAGACGACTTAAAAGAATGCAAATTATATGAATATAATGATGTAATAACATCTGGAAAAAAAAATTGACAAATAATGCATAATCTTAACCAGGAGTCGATGTTATAAAACTTTTTATCGGCGTAAAATGCTACCGGGGGTCAATGTTATAAAACTTTTTATCGGCGTAAAATGCTACCGGCTGTAAATTTTATCGGCGTAAATGATTTGTTTCCATGTTATAAAATTTTTTTCCAAGTTACTGTCGATAAATTTCTACAGCCGAAACGTTTACAGTCGATAAATGTTCCGGAGGAGCGACCTACGGAAATTTTTGTAAGAAATGTAAGTCATTTTCAAAATTTAAATCTGCTATCATTAACTACTTTTTAGAAAAACATTGCTTATAAGTTTTATACTTTTATTCAACTTTTTATTTATAACCCTAGTTCTGAGCTTCTATTTATCTAATTTTTTTCTTTTCTGTTGTGATTTAATATTTTTTGTTAAGCTTATTAAATTTAACAAAAAATATTAAAACACAACAGAAAAGATAAAAAAAATTAGATAAATAGAAGCTCAGAGTTAGGGTTATAAATAATAAGTTAAAGAAAAGTTTAATATTTATAAGCAATTTTTTCTAAAAAAACAGTTAAAGTTATAAAGAATAAATAACCAGTTATTTATTAAATAAATAACTGGTTTATTAAATAAATAACTGGTTATTTATTCTTTATAACTTTAACTGTTTTTTTAGAAAAAATTGCTTATAAATATTAAACTTTTCTTTAACTTATTATTTATAACCCTAACTCTGAGCTTCTATTTATCTAATTTTTTTTATCTTTTCTGTTGTGTTTTAATATTTTTAGCATAATAAATTATTATTTTAATCTTTCTTAAGCTGAAGTATTTTCTCTTCATCACTATAATTGTTAATATTATTATTACTATAGTTTTATCATAATAAATATTATGATTCTTACTGTTGTTAATATTGTCATAATTTTTTTTTTTATATATTACTGTTTTGTTATACTACTGTTGTTGTTTTTATTGTTATTATTATTGTTGTTGTTATTTTTACTGTTATTTTTGTTATTATTATTATTAAAATAGTATAGTGTATACTTTTTATAATCTTTATTATTACTTTTAATCGCTGTTATTACAACTATTATTTTTATTTACTCCTACTTGCATTATAGTTATTGTTTATAATACTTCAATAGTAATTTAATGATGCTAATAATATTAGCATCATTTTATTAGTATTGAATTATACAGGTGTTTATTTCATATTACTACTTATTACTATTTGTAAATAACCTTGATGTTATGATTACTATTTGTAAATAACCTTGATGTTATGATATATATATATATATATATATATATATATATATATATATATATATATATATATATATATATATATATATATATATATATATATATATATATATATATATATATATATACATATACATATACATATATATGTATATAAGTTTTCATGAATGAAAGTTATAAAGAAATTTAACTTTTTAGATTAACTTTACAAATTTTCTTTTAGACATTGGAGCCTGAAAGAAAACTATCAGGAATTTAAAGCGCTTGAAAAGGAATTTAAAGTGTTTTCAACGTTTGTTATTGAGCTAATTAAAAAAATGCACTTATGCGAAATTTATTTTTTTTTGATGTTCGAATATGGTATGAGCTCAAATATTTTTGATAAAGTCAGATAACAAAATACATCAAAGATTTTTCTTCTTATTCACAAAGTGTTTAGACATTATGTACAACTTGTTTTCAAAGTTTCTCATATTGTCTATGGTATGGAAGCACATCAAAACTTATTACGGATAAAATTCTAATCAGAAAGCATCAAAAGAGTTTTATGTTTAAATGTTTGTTTGTGTCTAAATAAATTTTTGTTATAAGAATTTAAGTTACTGAATAATTCTTTTAATTATTTAACATTTAAAGTCATTTTTTTTTAAGTTTATTTATGCAATTTTTCCTATTTTTTTCTGTGTGTATAGATTTTCTATGTGTATAGATTGTATAATATGTGTTTCTATGTGTATAGATTGTATAATATAAAATGTGTGTAGATTTTCTATATTTATATCAACACAATTTTACAAAATAAAGAATGATTTATTACCTAATTAATTATTTAAAAAAAAAAAAAACTTTTAATTCTTTAATTTTATGTTTTTTATTATAAAGACCAAGGCCTAAACAATCAAGGTCAAGGCCAAAAACTTCAAAGCCAAGGCCAAAAGTTTCAAGGCCTAGGGCCTTAGTTCTTAGTCTTAAGGCAAGGTCAAGGCCAAGGACTAACAACTCTGGTCTAAAGAAACCTCTATATAAAAAATAGTATAAAAAAAATTATTTTTCTAGAAAAGCTATACATATTTTGTTATAGGCTAGGATAAAAAATTTATGACAATTCCGTTTTTTTACTTTTAAATTGTATTCTTAACAGTTTAAATACTGTTTGAACAGTTTTACGCGGTTGTCTCTGATTTGCCAAATAATATAAAGCAACAAAATATTCTTCATCAGAGTCGAAACAGTCCAAATCCATAAGAAACTGTTAATTTTTGTTAGCTTTGATGTTTTCAACTCAAAAACGTTTTGTTTTTGACCACCTTTTATGTTATTGATTCGGACAGTAGATTTCCGAAAATAAATTCAGGGCATAGATATCTTCAAAATTTTACGCCGGTAAAAGTTTTATAACATTGAATGAAAAAACATTTTACGTCTCTAAATTTACGGCTGTAAAAATTCCGCCGGTAGCATTTTACGCCGATAAAAAGTTTTATAACATTGACCCCAGATGTTATTGGACTGGGAGAAAAATTACCAGATGTAGTTACATCTTTCTAAAAATATGTTTGGGGTCGTTAAATCTTCAGATGATATTTTACAGATGTTATTAGAGTATAAGAAAAATACAGATGATCTTGGACAAAAATCTACATATGATCTTAGACTATTCCATAGATGTTGTTGGACCCATGTAGTAATCTTTTACCTCAATTGCTGTTTGTATTTCTTTTATCACTTGCAAAAATATATTGTTTATATTTTTATTCATTAACATGTATTTTAAATGTGTTTGTATCCAGATCTGTAACAGACATAACCTTCAAAAACAAATTACATTTAGCATTTAAAAATACATATTTCTTTCTAAAAATACATATTTCATGTATTTTCAATGTGTTTTTATTCAGATCTGCAATAAATATAGTCTTTAAACATGCAGCAATTATCTAGGTCATATTTAAAAAATTCAAAATATATTTTGCTAAAAATATTGTTAAACAACGCAGAATAATTATTTTATAAATTTAGCATTTAGCTGGTGGCTTTCTCAATTTTATGATACGTTATGATTGAAAAAGTTAAAAAAACAAATATATTACAAAACTAAATTAAAAAATAAAAAAACTTTTGGCAAAAAGGAGTAGTTAAAAAAAAGATATTTAGATATCTTTTTTTCCAAATATTTGGAAATAAAAAATTATCAGACATACCTAACTCAACCAGATAAAAGTTTTTGTCTTTTAACTGCTCTTAAAATTATGTTTGACTGACATTTTCTATTCTGATATTCCAAATTATTTTAGGTCAACTTAATTGAAATAAAATTTTTGTAAAATTAATTTTGATGTTCAGAACTTAAACAGAATAAGAAAAAAAGTTTGTATTTTATAAGAATAAAATTTTTAAATTATTAAAATATTACAAAAATATGAAATATACATTTGAGTAACTTATTTTCTCTGAGCATACGAAAGTACTAACTTCAAGTTTGAACCATATCATGAACTTCATTGTTGATTGACATTGTATATAATAGTTTATGCATTATACTCAGGACAAATAAATTAGGAGAATTTAGGAGTATTTGAGAATATCATCTATATTTTACGCGAAATTAGGTCTTTTTAGGATATTTTTCAAATATTAGGATATTTTAGGAGGCGTGGTCTGTATTAATATTTATTATTATCAATATACTAGAGCAACAATTAGTTAATTAATAAAAAATATTTTAAAAAAGACGAAAAGGGACTCCAAAGGTTTTAATAAACCACTACACAATATTGTAACTCAATAAGTTAATAAAACAAATTCATTTTACCAAAACTTTATTAAGTTTTTGTAAAATGTATTTGTTTTGACGAATATTTTTTAAGTAATTAACGCGTTTTAAAATAACTTACGCATAATTAATAGGTCAGCGTTACACTATCAGGGAACCGGTAACCTGGGTAATATATATTAGATAATCTTACATAATTGTTGATTTTTAACTAACACATTTGTCCAACATTGTAAGCATTTGTTATAAACGAATGCTTATATAGCATTAGAAAAGCAAGAGATAAATACTTAAAGGGTTTTTAGGCTAATACAACAACAGAAGAATGTCGCTAAGGTCTGTTGCCTGTATAAAGTTAATATTGTCCAAAGTATAAACAAAATAAAAATACATTACGTGAGATTTAAGTATTACATAAAAATATCTCATATTAAAATACACCATTTTTTGAAATAGATTTAGCTTTCCCTTATACGAAACAAATTAAGGAAACTATTTCTCTCGGTTCAGCTAAAAATGAAAAAACAAAGTTTAGTTTGCAAAATAAATTTACTTAATAAACAGTTTACAATACATAAAATCTCTATTTTTATTCGTAGCTATATATAAATAGGAAATAATTCGTTGTAAAAGGAGAAACAGCGTCTAAAGTAAAACTTAAAAGTAAAAATTAATGAAAATAATGAAAAAAAATTATTTTTTATACACCAAGATAAATTTGTTTCTCCTTTTCAAGTAAATACAGTTTTTTTTTTATAAAAAAGACACGATAAATTACAAAAATAAACATATTAACATCCATTTTACAAATTCACATTTACATATCACATAGAATGGAATTATTACTTAAAAGCTAAACTAAATAATGACTATGTCGTAATTGAAAAAAAAAATTATTAAAATGACATTAAAAAAATACATCAAAAAAAAAAAAAAAAGGTTGGCGAATTAAATGTTAAAATGTCTAATACAATAATTTTTATGATCAAAAAAAATATACTATTATGCAAAACAAATTAAGTTGGCTTTAAAACCTACAGATTAAAATAATAAAAAAATAACTTAAAATCTCAGGTAAATAAAAAAAGCAATTATTCTATTATCCTTCAGCTAAATTCTGTTGCCAGCAAACAAGAAAATTTTTTAAAACGGCTGATAGTTTTATGTGTTTTTTAATGTCTTCGAAATTTATAAAATATTTGCAATAAACAACAATATCAACATTATGTTCTAACGCCAGGTTAACTAAGTTTCAAAGTAATTATCAACTCTGTTTCGATGGCGTTTCAACTGACCGAGTGGTTAAACTGGCGTTTATACAAGATGCCTGTTTTGCTTTCTGTTGCTGTTCATGTTGATATGATAATACTTCACTGTATATTAGAGCTAAAAGGAATTGCAGTCAAAATAAATAAAATCTATAACTTTTATTTAAATTATCATTATTAATAATATTATCCCAAAACGTACCTTTCCACTCTTCAACAGTATGATCTATTTCGTCTATTTTATGATCGTATTGCATTGGCGCTGGCTAAGGTAGAGAATATGATATACATAATAAATTAATCCATATATATTATACATAGTATCTATATATTACGCATAGTAAAATTAAAGATAAACACATTTAAAAATTTACTGCTTCTACTTCTTCAGCATCATACCAAACATGAACGTAGGGATGATTCAGTGCTTGGGTTATAGTTATACGCTTCATAGGATCAACAACTAACATTTTTAGAAGTAGATCACGTGCTTGGTTTACTAAATTTAATTTATTAAAAATGATCAGACATTAATTTATTAATTAAAAAATTTGCCAAAAAAAATTGTAAAAATAAAAAAAGCATTATTAAAAGTTACTTGGTTTACAAGTGACGATTATTTGTTTCAAAAAATTAAAGTTTGTTTCAATTAATTACATGGCTTATTAAATGTAAGCCATGTAATTAATTTCATATCAAAAAATAATCAGGATTTGACCTCTTTATGTTTAACAATCTATATAAATAGTTAGAATTTTTTTTTTGGCAAGCCCTTTTATAAAAAAAAAAAAAAGAAAAATTATAATGAAGAGCAGGGCTAGTTGTCTCTTGTCTGCTTTTCCTCATTGAACACTGTAGCCATAACTTTTAACAGCACATTTTTTTTTTTTTTTAAATATTAAAGAGTCTTAGTATGAATTTAAGTAACATTTTAAAGTTGCATTCCCTATTTAAAAAAGCAAATATTACTTCTTATAATAAGCTAAAACAGTTTTTTTGAATTTAAACAAATTTTTTAAAAGCTTTTTAAAAATATTTTTGTAAAAAATAACTTAGTAAATAACTCTCTTAACATTGTTACAAATTTAAAACAAAGAAAAAATGTTCTATAGTATACTGTGAGCCAACTTGGTTCTTGAAAAATTTGCCAACTAAAATAATAAATCAATTGTGACTAAAATCGTTACAATACTTTTTTTAATATGACCAACTGTTTTCTTCATAAAGTAAAATGAAAGCAATGTTCTAAAACTTAAATCCCAATATCTTTTAAGCACATGCGCAAATCATTACAATACTCATGAAAGATGAAATAGTCAATTCGGAAGGCTCTATGTAACTTGTGTCACTTTTTGATGAAAGACTCTTAACTAGCCCGCTCACCTCTACATATATAGCCCTGCTCACCTCTACATATATAGCCCCGCTCACCTCTACATATATAGCCCCGCTCACCTCTACATATATAGCCCCGCTCACCTCTACATATATAGAAATATAAACTGGTTTAATAACAAATGTTGTTAAAATTTTTTACAGATGCGGTTTTTCCAGCATTTGATCAAATATGTGATGTGATGCTCTCACTTTAGTAAAAAAAATTACACATAGGTATTGCAACTTTTCTGGCATATTGGGTTTTAGTGATAACATGTGTGAAATATTTTTTTTATTCCACATCTCTAACCTTCTCCCCTCAAAGCAGTTAATGTTTATGTATCCACACCACACCAATTGACAGAACCTATCTCACTTAAAATTGTATGTTTTTCATAAGTTTCTGAGGATACTTTATTATCTGAACATTTTCTGTAAAATATTTAACTGCATACTTAATAAAAATTGATTCTGTGAGATATTTTCTTTATAAGAAAATATCTCACAACTTATAAGAATTACTGATTGTTTGAAAATTGACTCTAACTTAAAATCAGCAAATAAATTCTAATGCTCTTCCATTTTGCTCTTTTATTTTGTATGAAAACTTTTGGTTAGCTTATCATCATTACAAACAATCTTTCTGCAGCATCATTTGTGAAGAGAGGTGGAAAAAATAACAAAATTTTGTACTCAAGTAAAAGTACTGTTACTTGAGTACTGTTAATTGAATGAAACTTTACTCATGTACAAGTAAAAACGTTTACTCAAGTAAAAGTAAAAAGTAGCTCATTAAAGTGAGCTACTTTTTATGGTAGAGCGAGGCATATAGGGACATGTAAAAAATAAATGGTAGTTGTAGATAAACTAATTCTTGGTAAACTTTTTTTTATAAATTTCCTAAAATTCATTGATATAAGAAAAGAAAAAAACAAAAGAAACTAGTGAAATTTTTACTTTTTGCAAGTGGGTGGGGTAAAACGGGACAGTTAAAAAGCAGCAGTTATTCATTAATTGCAAAGCTTTAAAAATGAAGGTATTTCACCATTTAAACATGCTCAGATATTAAATTCTCATAAATGTAACATAACCATACTTACTACATGACCAAAATTTAAAGAAACATACATCACAAAAAAAAGAAATAAGAACTAAAATAAAAAAACTTTTTGTGCTTTATTATAAAATACTAAAACAAACAAACTTAAAAAATTGTTTCAAAAATTAAGTAGGGCAAAACTAGTATATATTATTAAATTGGTAACTACTACTAAATTTAAAAATAAACAAAAAGTATTATGGATCACATAAATCACACAAAAAATATCCTAAAATTATTTGGCAACATTTTTGATAAGCTGGCTTACGAGCAATATACCATGATGTAGAGCAAATTTAAATATTTTATATGTATCAGCAGCTTTTTGAATTCCAAGTTCTTTTTTACTTACAGCTTAAACTAAATTTCATCATAATTTGGATCATTGATATTTTTTATATATAATTTCTTACCATCGTATCGTTGTTTACATTAAACACTATTAAAACAACTTCTTTGACTTTATTTAACAATTACTTTGAATTTTTTTACTAATATTACTTTTTAAAATAGTTAAAAGATATTTCTTTTTTTTTTTGTTGTATCGCAAGAAGTTATTGCATAAGAAAATACGCAAATTTTGTTTTTCAGATGTATTATGGTACTTTTAAAATTAAATTTCTTTTACAATAATAAAGCACATTAATTTAAAATGTTTTATCAAAAATTTTTTTAGCTGAGATATAAGGCTTCAGGCATAACTGTTTGTTAAGCCCGCTGTCCCAATATGCCCTACCCTACCCTATGCAGAGTAAAAGTAACAAACTGCATTACTTTTTTAACAGGTTTTTTAATTTCTTTTAAAATTATTTCAAAATTTTCCATAAAAACTAAAATAAAAAAGATCAATTTTAATACATTGGCAGTGCACATGTTTGTACACACGTCTTCCCAAGGGGTTATTCATAAATTACGTCCTGCAATTTTCTTAGCTGTTTTTAATTAACTAATTAATACATTTCAATTTTAATTATTATATATTACTTTAAAAGTAATTACTACTCAGGGCCGATGACACAGGTTTCGAAGTTGGGGGAGGGGACATAATTGTTAAACAATTGTTGGTTATACACAATTTAAATGTTTGTGGTACTTGCGATACTCACATTTTGCATCATTATATAATACAGTTTATATTTATAATAACTGGTTATGTAATACAAGTTTATGTTTTGTTTGTAAAAGATTATTTACATTTTTTAAATTTTTGCGGTAGTTAAATTTTTTAATAGTTTAGTTACTACCGTTAGTTATTCTGTTCTGTTATGTAAACTTTTTTCAAGTTGAAAAAAAAAAGCCTATTTCTTATAAAGTAGACTCTTAAAACTAAAAATTAAATAAGCATGACGTATGTAGATTTTACAGTTAAAAGTCACTCAGCAATTTGAAAATATTTTCCAAGAGATAAGAAAGGCCAAACAGCGATGTGTAAATTGCCAAACTGCAAGAAGATTTAAAAAAACTGTTGCGGTTCAACAAAAGGACTTAGGTGCATGAGGTGAAGGTCAAAAGTCCAACCCAACTAATATTATCAAAGAAAGCACATCATATGAACCACCAAAAAAGAAATATTTGCTACATAAATATTAAAGTTCATGGACAAAATTCGCACTTCTGGAGTTTAGGTTTAGTGCGAATAACAGGTTCCATGCCAGCAGAAAAGTGCATTGAACTACTAAAAAACTACTAAAAAACACTTAAAAACTACTAAAAAACACTTAAAGACCATAGTCTTGATCTACACTGCGACATTGTGGCTATAATGACCTAGTGTTATAAAAAAAGTTAGAAGGTTGCTGGCTGCTAATCAACAATTATGCTTTCCCTATGGTATACAACTTGCTCTAATTGATGTTTTTTATAAAAATAAAGAATTCAATGCAATTTAGCCAGAATTTAAAAATGAGCTTTCTGACAGTAATATGTCTAAGAATGAGAAAACTAAGGAAGATTTACTGGGTTACCATCATGAAAATGTAAGACCAATTGAACTAAATGAATTTCATCATGAAGATAAGCAAAGAAATGCGTACAACTTTGTGGTTCATATGCATTAACGTTGAAGTGATATGAGTGGACTTCTGCAACACCTACCTCACGGTCGAAGCTCTGTTGAAGTGTTCTGTTAATGAAGAAATAATTATAATTCTATAAAAATTTAAAAAATATATAAAAATTTATCAGAGGTGACTGGCTAAGGAAAATAAACTTGTTTTTTTTTGATACTATATATTTAATATATTTAATATGTGTTACATCACTTACGTTACCGAGCGATTATTATCATGGATTTTTTATATTTATTATTAAGAGTTTGAGTTATGTAACAAAAGAATTGCAAAAGTATTGAAGTCATTCATTAAAAATAATTAACAATAGAAATTTAAAAAAACTGGTGTAGCATTTAGATTTAAATCTTTTAAAATATTGTTGACGTGAAAACTGCTATCACAGTTTAGGAGGGAGAGAGGTTTCAGGTATATGTGATGGTTTGTGTCAGGAAATAACGGGTTAAGAATTGATAAATACAGGGTAACATGCTTAATGGATGACCCCCTTTAATTGCATTTACAAACGATTTGTTTTACTAAAACAAATATAAAAAAAAACTGATTTTTTTTATATCAGAAGAATAGCAAATAAATCTTTTTTTAATACCTGAATAAAATTTTTATATAATTCTTTTTTTTATTTATTTATGAATATTTATGTTAGCCATAATAAGAATACACAAACAAATAAAAAAAACAGTAATATAAATAATTTTAATAACTTTGTCAAACCAATGCAATGAAAAAAGAATTACTTAATGACGTAATTCATTTTGTTATTCATTTGTGCACCAGAACTTTATTAAATTCATGTAGTTTTAACAAAAGTTACACAAATTTAAAATAAAAATGTGCTTTAACTAAACACCATTATTTAAAATTTTAAATGTAAAAACATAACATCTAATATTCTTTCACATATATTATTAAAAAACTAAGGTTTTTTAACTAAACTTTAGAAAAAATAAAACTTTATCATGTTTTAGTTAACTTACGCTACATGAAAATTGCAAAAGCTAATTCGTTATTTTCTTTAAATATATAAATTTCATAAAGTATAAAATTTGACCAACAACATTTTAACATGATAGCACCATTTTCACACTAAATTAATATCAAAGCACTTTTTACAACAATACCTTTCTGTTTATTTCCCACCGGAAACAAATCTTCTGGAAATAATTCGTCTATTGTGTAACCCTTTTGCTTTGGTCGATTGGCACAGTACATACGTACCTATTAATATAAAAACATAAAAATGATAATATTTTAAAATATTCATAAAATAATGAATAATTCAATATTCATTTATTATTCATAATTAGAATATTTTTTTATATTTGCGACATATTAAGAATTGTGTTTTGCTAAAGTAATCTTTTTACATTTTTAATTTAAAATTTCACTATTATAACTTTAAATAATAAATCTTTAAAAGATAGAAATTACAATCAATCATAAAAATAAATAAAACATACTGATGGTTGAAGACGATCAAAAAAAGATTGTGGTGGAGTCGAAAGAAGTTCTGTTACTTTGTTCCATTGATCAATGTCTATTTAGAGTTACAAGTTAAAGAAAATTTCTCAAAAATTAATTATTGTAATAATTACTGGCAGATAAAACCTCTAAACAGATTTTAACGCAAAATTAAATTTAAAAAGTAACACCCAAAACCATATGTGTGTGCGCGTGTATCTTTCTCTCTCTCTGTGCATGCATGCATGCATATATATATATATATATATATATATATATATATATATATATATATATATATATATATATATATATATATATATATATATAAAAGGTCCCCTAAGACCCTTAAACATATTAAATTAACATATAATATGAACATATATAAGTTCCTAACATTATCAAAAAAATAAAATATACTTCTTAAGTGTATCATGTTGGGTCTCAAATGAAGCAAAATCATATGAAAATTTCAAAAATGATAAATTAAATTAAATTTAATAATTAGAAACTTATTTATAAAAATATCAGTAAAAAGGCATTTTTTTTAATTGTAGTTGATAAACTTCATTTTTATGCTATTTAATCTACCATATTTATTCTTATATAATATAGTTATCATTTGTAAAATTTTCATATAATTTTGCTTTATCATATTTTGCTTTTTCATATAATTTTAAGACCAACATGATACACTTTGAAAGAATTTTTTTTTTGACAATATTAAGAACTCATTATATGTTCAAGGACCCTTAAAAATATTTTTTATCAAAAATTTTTTAGGGGTCCCCTATTAAAACAACACATCAGGAGAGTCTTTGCATATATTTTTCTAAAATATTACTTTTTGGGACACCCTAATATATATATATATATATATATATATATATATATATATATATATATATATATATATATATATATATATATATATATATATATATATATATATATATATATCAGGGATGCAGAGTCCCAAAAAAAAATATACACACCTATACATACATACACACATCTGTGTGCATATATAGAAAATATATACATATATCCTTTGGCATATATAGAAAAGTTTAAGGTTATCAACATTTTTTTTTGGTGTTAAACTATCTTTTGTTGGCATATGGTGGCCACAAAATTTTTAACTTAAAGGTTTCACCAAACAAGCTCAACAATAAATCCATGACCACAGACATTTCAGCAGTTAAGTAAGATTGCTGAATGCTGACCCTAATTCTGAGGGCTCTATATAGATACATATATAAAAGAAATATATAAAAGTATAACTTATATCCTGTGCTTAGATAAACAGTCTGACATCATAGCAAGCTGTCAGGTGCTTTAGTACATAAACTGACTAACTAGATAGGGGCCACATGCAAGAAGTAGCGCTACATTAAAGTTTTTTTTAGCAAAGAGCTAACCCATGAAAATCTTTTTCTCTTTGATTGTCCAACCAATCCAACCATCAACACCATAACAATTAAATTTAAGGCCACTCTACTAATATTCTCACTTAATGATGTATTTAGATTGCATGGCGTAAACGATGTCATACATTCTTCAGCTTTCAGAGTTTAAGGTCTTCTTCTGCTCTTGTTTTACTTCAATGACTACTCTACTCACTTATCTTTCAAAAGCCATTTAACTATAGTGAAATTCTGAACTTATGTCGCAAAAAAATATAACACAATTATTCAAAAAAGGTCCAAAATCGACACAGAAAACTACTAATTTTTTTTCTCTTTGCTTCGAACAAGGCTGCAAGCAGCCACTAATTAGTGTTGGAAGTTACTAGAAGAGAAAAGATGAAGATTGTAGAGCAAGATAACGATTTACAGACGACTCAAAAAAGATTGCAAATTATATGAATCAGGATAGCAAGATGAAGGAAATGTCAAAGAACTGATGTTTGAGGAAAAAAACTAGAAAAATAAGAGTCTTTGGAGCACTTAGGAACAGTAACAGAAAAAGGATGAGACTTAATTGAATGACTAGTAACACGAGAATAAATTTTTGTAGACAGTACAAGAGATGCTAGCTCTTTAGAGCAGTGCCCATTGTAGTATTTGTATAAAAGAGAAAGAGAAGCAACATTACGACAATGCGGTTGAAGGTTGGCTGCAAAAGCAGGTCCAACTATGTTTACAATGCGTTTTTGCACCTTGTCTAAAAGAGAAAGGGCATCATTAGAAGATCCACCTCAGATATGACAACAGTATTACATACAAGGACGGATTTGAGATTTATAGAGATAGAGAATAGAATCCAGAGTAAGAAAATGTCAAGCTTGATAAAGAGATGCACTTTAGCAGGTGTTAATTTTACAAAGGATTTGATATATGGTTTCCAAGGAAGATTAGAAGTAAGAGTTAATCCTAGAAGATGAAGGGTAAACAACTCATTGAGTACATACCGTTCATATATATAGGAAGGTCTAAATTATTGCGATAACAATTGGCTGAAAAAAATTGAGTTTTATCTGAATTAAAGTTCACCAGCCACTGTGAGCCCCATGCTGTAGCAGAAGTGAGATCTTTTTCAAGCTCAAATGCCCCCTCCCCAAGCAATCAGAGGGAGTTGGCTTCTTATCATGACAAGAATAAATGGTAGTATTATCAGCGAACAATGCCACCTTAAATGTGAGAATATCTGTAAGATCATTAATGTAAATTAAAAAGTGAATAGGACCAAGGATTGAACCTTGGGGAACCCCTGAGGTTACAGAATAAGAAGAAGAGTGCTGTTCATCAAAGATTTTATACAACGATTGGAAAAGAAAATTCAATAATCTTAAAGATGTTTCCAGATACACCGTAAGAAGAAACCTTATGGAGAAGATCAGCATGGCAAACTTTATCAAAAGCTTTAGAAATGTCAAGAGCGATGACCTTAACCTCTCCACCTTTATCTAATGCACAATAAAACCTATCGGTTAATACTGTAAGCAAATCAGCCGTAGAACGAGAAGATCAAAAATCCATGTTGATGATCAGAAAGTAAGTTATTAGATTCAAGATGAGAGATTAAGTGTTTGTTAATTAAAGATTCAAAAACCTTGCTTATGATAGGAAGAAGACTAATGGGATGGTAGTTCGACAAATCAGATCGCTCTCTAGAATTTTTAAAAATAGGGATAACAGATGCTGCTTTCCAGCAGGCTGGAAAACACGACTCTGATAATTACTTGTTGAATAGTTTTGAAAGGATAGACGACAGCTTTGGAGAACACTTCTGCAAGACTATAACAAGTATGTTGTCCAGGCCACAAGCTGTAAAAGAGTCTAAGCAAGAAATCACTTTAGATGCAGAAGCTGGAGTGATACGAATGTCAAGCAATGGATCAACCTGTTTGACGGCTATATTAGGTAGAACGCAACTAGTGGAATCAAGAGATGATATTGAGGAAAAGTTCTTAGCAAATAATATAGCTTTGTTTTTAGGTGAGGTAAAGTCTGAACCATACAAAAGAGGTGGAATTACAGACTTGCCCTCATTATTGATACTATTAAAGATTCTCCAGAAGTCACAAGAGCCTAATTTTTGTGATGAAATACATTACAATCGACATTAGACAAAACCTTTTTACAATAGTTCCTAGCAGTAATAAACAGACATCTGTTTTCTGGAGAATTGTTTTGCTGATAGATATAAAAGTAATGGTTTCGATTGGCAATTGCAGCAGCACTATGTGAGTAAAAGGGCCATCACAAAGAAAACCACGGAAAGAGTCACAGTCAGCTTTAAGGTAGTTGTAAGATGTACGATGATAGGGGGATTCTGATGATAAAGAAGAATGAGATAATAGTTTTAGAGGAATCAAACTGTGATTAGAGGCACCTAAGGGTGAATGTGGAGAAACTGAGCACTGACTAGGATCAGAAACAAGAAATAAGTCAAGTAGAGAAGGTAAATGATTCGGGTTGTCTGGAAAGCGAGTTGGAAAGTTGAATATTTGAGTTAGAGATTGAGAAAGGCAAAAGTTGTAGGCTTTAATGCCTGCAGATTCGCTGACACTAGAGCCAAGCCATTCAGTGTGATGAACATTAAAGTCACCGACAACAACAATATTGGTTGATGGATAAAGAGAGAGGGCTTGATCAATATGATCAGAAATAACATCAAGAAGAGTGCAGTCATGAGATGAAGGAGAGCGATATAGAACAAAGAGAAAGATGATAGAGTGAAGTAGTGCTAAACGAAAGCACATAAAAGAGTAGTCTGTGGATTCAAACCTAGTTTCCCCAAAAATGGGTGAATTCATACGAATGTAAATGCCCAGGCCAAGCATGTGACTATTGGAGTCTTAACGAATTAAAGGAAGAGAACCATCAACACTAAGATCACAAGATGAGACAGCTGAACTCAAATTATTCTCATAAAGAGCAAGTAGGTCTGGTGGACTTTGCAAGGGATAAGACTCAACAGAAGAAAAGGGATAAAACTCAACAGAATTTGAGAAACCTGACTACCAGCCGGCCTCAGAACCAGAAAACTGAGTTTTAGAGCTGTACCCTCATTAGGAGATAATAGAATGAGTTGCCTAGTCATAAAAACAGAGACACAAGCAAAACCCATGCATCGAGTCAAAAAGATCCAGCATTCAACATCCTAAACTGGAAACAATGTATTAAAAATACATCTGCGCCAGCCTAATTAATCCCCTTAACCTCAATTCCATGTAAAATAATGAAGGAGCCTTTCAAGAAAGCAACTGTACTGCATCTACAATCAAATAATATCTTTTCTAATTGTTATAGCTTTGTAAAGAAAAAAAGTATTTTTTTTTAAAAGCATTGTGAACCTGCTCAAAGCAATGGATTTTTGGCTGCAAACATGGTTATAAAACTACCAATGAGAGGTTTTTTTCCTGGATTTTATCATAATTGGGTAAATACCACAGCAGAAAACACTTTACAAACTTAAAATGTACAGAATCAAAAGTAATCTTCAAACAGATCTTAACAAGTTCTTCCTGATGACATTTAGTTGAATTGGCTGTGTGACCAGTAGAAAAATCAGTCTTGAGTCCACCCTTATTGGTTATCTTCAACAAACCTCTGCCAGATGTGATAAGCCAAGAGAACATTTGCAAGATCAATGAAACTAAAATCTTCGGCATTTTGCACACACTTGGTCAATCAATGCCTGAAAAATTGCATAAAATTCAAAATAAGGTTTACATTCAAACAAATGCAGGTTTAAACAACGTAAATAGTTATGATTTTTTATTTTTTTGTTTTTAAAATTTTTATGAAAATGTAAAAATGTTTTAATTATTTAAATGGTGTTTGTTTAAATTCAGTAAAAATTGAATCTGATAATATGAATACGCTAATTTAATATTAGTCGAGTTTCTAGGCTTTTCTATTTTAAAGTAGTTTCTAGGCTTTTCTATACGCAGTTTTTTTTTTAATTTTATTTATTAACAACGCGTATTACGGGTTGCTTACTGCTAGTTTAAATGAATAGAACTAATATAATGTACAAACTTAGGAAAAACTTTGTTAAACTTAGGGAGAAGACAAATATTAGGTTACGGAGAAAACAAATATTTGTTGAACTTTATTACTACTTTTATGTAGTTTTTCTTTGAGGCCCAGGTTGTTATAACTTTAAAAAATAAAAACATTTTACTGATATGTAGAATTTAACAAAGAATTAAAAAAATTGAAAGTGAACTTTTGCAATTTAAAAAAATCATTACAATATATATTTATAACATTAAAAACTCAGTTTAAATAGAAAAAAGATACGATCTGTTCCAGGGAACATTACTGATCCACGAATCATTTCACCGAATATACAACCTATAGACCAGACATCTACGTTTTCAGAGTATCCCATTCCTAATATAATTTCTGGTGCTCTATAATATCTTGTAACTACATAAGGGGTCATTGTAAATGCGGAACCAGCCGTTCTAGCAAGACCAAAATCTAAAATCTAAAAGGAACAAAACCAAAACGTTCTGAAATAAATCTTTTATCTCTTTCTGTCAGTACATCCATTATTTAGATAGGTTTCTAGGTAATACAAAATTCTTTTATTTAAACAAACATAAAAATAAAGGTTTTAAGTGTAATTTTCTTAAATAATAGGTCATTCCATGCAAAACGGACCAAAACTTTAGGATTTCAACATGGACCACCTTAGATTTTGATGAAACTTAATGAGTTGGTTTATATCAACGAGAAAAGCAATTCCTGAAAATTTCAGCATAAAATCTTTTGTGGTTTATGATATGGTCATTTGAAATTTCTGATTTTTCCAAAAATAAAAACTTTAGCAGCAAAAACATGTTTTGTTTATACTATAAAGTTATATATTTTCAAAAAATTGAAAATATAGAGCTTCAAAGTATGAACAAATTATTTTTGCTATGTTTTTATTTAAAAAAAAAAATCAAAAATTTCAAATGACTATATCATGAACCACAAAAGATTTTACGCTGAAATTTTCAGAAATTGCTTTTCTCATTGGTATAAACCAACCCACCAAGTTTCATCAAAATCTAAGGTGGTCTGTTTGACCTTGACCCACTTGGTATGGAATGACCCAACTATAGTGTTTAAAAAAATTTTTTTACAAGAGTTTCTATTAGACAAGTTGTTAAGTTAGAAAAAAAAAATTTGTTTTAAACTGTTTAGTTATAGAAAAACCTTTAAAAAAATCTTAATCAACTTTTAATAAAATGTTTATTTAATCTTCAAGCAATTCATGCAAGGAAAGCACTATCAGCAACATTTGAGAAAAATTGACTGTACCATAGTTTTAAAGATCTTATATTAAAGGTCAATAACAACAACAAAAAAAACAATGATGTCATTTTCAAGATCTATTAAAAATGTAAAATCATTTAAATTCACAACCAACTTCTTAAAACGTCTTAAAAACAATAAATTACATCTTTTAATTAACAGCTTACCTGGTTTAATCACAACTTAACAATTTTATTGGCAATATTTACTTTAAAGTAACGATTTAAAATTTGTAAAGTTGCAACTTAAACCAAGTAAGGTGTGGTTATTAACTTAAAAATTTTATTTTATTGTCATCAATTTTCATTGTTTCTTAAGTACAGTTTTAACAGTTGTCGAAGATAAAATTGCTTAAAAACATAGTTTTGATACAATCTTTAAAACTTTATACTATAAACTTTATAATTTCACCCTAAATAAAAACAAAATTTTTATTTAGAATGATGCAGTTGATGCCACCCTTGGAATTTGAAAAAATAGGGTAGATAATAAATTGCTGACTATTTAAGATTGACACAAAATTTTTAAAGGTTGTACTATAAAAACATAGAAATGAAGTCAACAAAAAAAAAAAAAACTTTAGGCTGGCAGTTAGGTTGGCATTGCCGAATGCTGTCTAAAATTTCAAGGGCTGCTGGTGTAATTTTTTTTTTTTTTTTTGTATATTGTTTATGAATAAATTTTCTAAATAATAGTAACAGTAAAAATTAGATGAAGTAAAAACAAAAATTTGAAAAAAATCTTTAATTAATTTAATTTAGAGAAAAAATAACAATAGTAAAATTTAGATTTAAACTAAAATTTAAAGTAAAAACTCTCATCTTTTTTAAATCTTTATTTTTATTCAGAAAAAAAACTTAATAATATAATTTCATAAATTATATTTTTTAATTTATAAATTAAAACTTAATAGATATATAAATATTCCTAACTATTATAGAATATATACTATATTCATTATCTCATTCTTTCAACATAAGTGTTAACTAAAATAAAGATTGAAATACAAAGTATTTATTAAATATTTTATTTGCAATTGGTTTTGTTTGTATAAGGTTTAGAGATAAATAATATTTGTCAGCAAAACTAATACAATTTGCAAATGGCTTTGATTGTATTAGATTTGGTGACAAATTATATTTGTCAGCAAATCTCATTGCTCTTACACAAAACTAATTTTTGTGTATTAAAGATAATTATTGAGTAATGAAGTCAAAAAAAAAAAGAGTTTAAACTCATGAACGTCAGTCTGCACCATATTTTTGTTTACAAAAAAAAAATTTTTGGTGAGTTTTCTGTCTTTCTTGTAGGCATAGAGATGAAAGATATCAACCAAAGGAAAATCAATAGTAAAATCATGAAAGAAATAGAAATCAATCAATCAACTTTAACTTTAAACAGTTGTAAGAAGTACAGTAATAAAAAAGTCTGATTAAAAAAAAAAATTAAATGATGGCGTCATCTCAATTAAAGCATGGTATAAACTATTATTAAAAAAAAATGAAATCACAAATAAAAACAAACAAACCAAATTAGAACCTTACTTGTATCAAACCTAAACTTTAAAACTACTGTGTACAAACTAAACAACAATCCTTGCTCTAACCAAATCAAATCAAAGTTTGCAGTTTGTAAATTTTGGATTTTGCTTATAACTATAACACGAGGTCACACTGGTGTTTGAAGAGATTGGCCATATCTAAGTATTGTTAATGTTTGAAGTGTTAATTTTGATTTTAGTAATTAAATAAATTAGACACAAATTGCAGTAAATTCATGGTCCATTTACAATTTAAATTAGCTTGTAATTGGACCAAGAAGCTCTTGGATAAATCCATAAAAAACATAATAGCTTCTTTAGTAACTGCATCATGACCAAGAGTGAATGCTGAACACACCTACATTTCATTGAAGTTGAGGATTGAACGGTTCCATTAATGTTGGAGTTAAGGTTTGTTTGCATTATAAATAACGAACCACATCTTACAGGCATTGCGTATTGCACACTAAACTGAGCAGCAAGTATGTTTGGTAATTATTGGGCTTATTGTAATCATATTACATGATTGCTAAAGACATTTAGCCCTTCTTGTATGTGTATGATGATTGATTTCATCACCTTGCTCAGACTGATTGACATTTATCAAAGTACGGATTAGCAATAATTAAAGATACTATGTGTAACTGAACAATTTCAATTACACATATTCTGAAATACTTAACCACAATATTACTATATCACGATAAATTGTCTCTTTTATAATGGATTAAAGTTGAGATTGAATTATAATTTACTGGCAGACTCTATTGTTTAATGGTGTCAGTAATGAAACAAGACATGAACTTGACAGATAAGTGCCAGTTAATGAGTACTTTCTGTGCGTAGAAAGACAATGAGTGTTTATGCGTTCGAATAAACCAAAAAACATTAGAAACATCTCTCAAATACAACGTTCTTAATTATTTTTTCTTCAATTCATTCTTTCATTCAAATCATTGCTTTCATTTAAATATTTTCTCTTTAATTCATTCATTCATTCAATTCAGCTATCCTTTCATTCAAATATTTTTTCTTCAATTCATTTTTTTCATTCAAATCATTCTTTCTTCAAATACAAGTTTTAATTACTCAATAACAGCAGGCTAAAATCTACATTAAAACCATTAGTCATTATAATTATTGCTTTGATGTTTTGTGTACTTTAGCTAAAGTCTATTGTATATTAAATGTTCTTAGTTGTAAATTTTACATTGGCTAGTGCATTGCAAATTTATTTATGCTTTATCATTGTGAATGTAAAGCTCCCAGCTCTTGTGTTGTAACTAATAAATAAAGGTTGCATTGATACTTATTACCAAGTTTTGCTATTGCTTACTTTCACTAAGTCGAACTGAACCTGAACTGAACCTTCAAATCTATTGAACCGAAACTAAAATAATGGATAAACAGAAACAAACATGAACATTAGTTCAAACCAAACTGAAGCTGAACTTTTTAAAAAGAATTTCTATTTCTAGTATACACTACCTAAAGAAGAGTTACATTTCTATTTTTAGTATGAACTACCTGAAGAGGAATGAGAAGAACATTTAATTAAATTTCAGTTTTAAATTTAAATTGATTTCAAACTATAAACGTCAATAACATTTATGGATCTTTTTTAAATTAAAATCAAACCTTGATATACTTACTTTTAAACTGCAATCAGACTTTACTACAATATTGCTTGGTTTTAAATCCTAAAGTGTAAAACAAGCAAAAAATTAAACAGTTGAATGCTTTTTTGCACAACTTTTTCTTAAATCATTTTGTATAATACTTATTTAATTTATAAATTATTTTAAGATTATAATCTCAATTAAAAAGGAGAAAGTAAAATATAAACTTACTCTATGTATAATACCTGCTGAATGAAGATGCTAAATATAAAAAGTATAACAAAAATATATCATAATAATTCAAATATCATTAAAAGCTTACTTTAAATACAAAATATTTCAATACTTCCATTAGATAAAAAAAAAAAAATTAAAAAAAAAATACCTTGATTCCACATAACATCTGATACAGTAAGTATGATAATCGTTCATGATCAAGATCCATTTGTACAACTTGACATAAACTTGCATCCATTAGTTCCATGACTAAATATCTAAAAAAAAGAATATATATATATATATATATATATTTGTATATATATACACAGTGCTCAAAGTAAGGCGGGATGCCATCCTGTCACCTTTTATAAATCTCTATATATAACAATGATTAGGAGGAATGGTATATATATATATATATATATATATATATATATATATATATATATATATATATATATATATATATATATATATATATATGTATATATGTATATATATATATATATATATATATATATATATATATATATATATATATATATATATATATATATATATATATATATATATATATATATATACAGTGATCGAAATTAACCTCGGTACTCGGCGTATGTCAAGGACTTTGCCTCAGGATTTGTAGTATTTTGATAATTTGCCTCAGCTAAAAAGTGCCAAGGAAAAAATTGTTTTAATAACTTTTGTCAATGATTTTAACTTTTTTATAATTGAGGTGGGTTGAACAAGGGATGTCGCACAAAATTTTATGCCCCAATAAGTCCACAAGGCCTTCAGGTACCTAAAAAAATAAAATGTTGTCGAGGTAATGCCGACGTTAACGATACTTTTCAAGTCAAGCCTTCGGCATTTGTTTGCCGAGGCCAAAAAAGCTGAATTTCGAACGCTGTATATATATAAAACCCTCAGATTTAGGAAAAATGATATCGTCAATAATTTGCCAACTTCAATCTTTTAGAGGTGGCCATCATCTCACAAAAAAAATTTGATACAAAGGTTTTACCATAAGACACAAAGTCGAAACAAGGTAGACAAGGTAACAAACAACAGGTAGACAAGGTAACAAACAAGGTAGACAAGGTAACAAACGAACAAAGGTGAACAAGGTCGGCAAAAAATTGCCGACCTCAAATACTTTGAGCCTGGTAGTTAGGTCCTAATTTCGAGGGCTGTATATATATACATAAATATATATATATATACATATACATTAGGGTGTCCCAAAAAACAACATTTTTGAAAATAATCTGCTCTCACCCCCTAAATGTGTTCTATCTAATACAAAAACACTAGGTTTAAATTTTTTTTGAATAAAAAATATTTTAAGGGGTCCCTCAAGATCCTCGAATATTTAATGGGTCCCTAATATTTTCGAAAAAAAAGTTTTTCAAAAATATGTCAACCTGGTACGAGGTTGACATATTTTTGAAGCGAAATTATATAAATATTTTAAAAATAATATTCATTTCGAAATATTTTTAACTTATTTATCAAAATTATCATAAAAAAACATTAGAAATGCATTTTTTTCATTTTTTCTTAAAAAAAGCAATTTTTTATGTAATAAAACCAAAAATAACAATTTTGTTTCGAAATGAATATTATTTTTAAAATTCTTATATAATTTCGCTTCATTTGAGTACCAGGTTGACATATTTTTGAAAAACTTTTTTTCGAAAATATTAGGGACCCATTAAATATTCGAGGGACTTGAGGGACCCTTTAAAATATTTTTTATTCAAAAAAAATTTAAACCTAGTGTTTTTGCATTAGATAGAACACATTTAGGGGGTGAGAGCAGATTATTTTCAAAAATATTGTTTTTTGGGACACCCTAATATATATATATATATATATATATATATATATATATATATATATATATATATATATATATATATATATATATATATATATATATATATATATATATGTATATATATCAGTGGTGTACGATGGACTTTTAGATGTTTGAGTTTTGACACTTACAGGTATTGTGCAAACTCCAAACTTTTGTATGTTCATGCTTATGTCAAATGAGAATGTTTTGCAAAAAGTTGCGGTGATAAGAGCTTGGGGACAAAAAAAAACAATTTTTGGGCCCACCCAGCCCTTAACATGGAATCAACAAGTTGATAAAATAATTTTTTTATTATTTTTGTCTGAGTTTATATTCATCAACAAATTTCAAATTTCATCCAATAAATTCTTATTTTTTGAAAATTATGACCATATAGAGTTTTAACCCCCCTCAATTTGAGGGGGTTGTAAACTTTGTAGGGTCATAAAAACTAAAAACTAAGAGGTTATTGCATAAAATTTGAAATTCGTTGATGAATATAAACTTAGATAAAAATACTAAAGAAATTATTTTATCAACTTGTTGCTCCCACGTTAAAGGGATCCCTAAGTGCTCCTAACATATGATCTCATATGAAAGAACAAAAAAAAAAATAATAATAAATAATAAATGCATGCTAACAAAAAGCAATTGCCAAAATCACTGAAAAACAACTCCATTTTGATTTTATTTTTTTATATTTGAAACTCAATTGTTAGTTGTTAAAAATCACGTTAGTACGTCACAACAACTTTAGAATATCTACTTCGATTTTCAAGTAAAAAAAAGTCGTGATTAAAGTTTTAATAAAGTTTTTTTAATTAGTTTTGCAAAAACAGTATAATAGAATACGGTTGAAAGACGTCATTAAAAGTTATTAAGTAATAGTTTTAAATAGTTAAGAACTTATAAAAAAGTCTTACAAGGCTTAAGCGTATCGCAATCACGATTGTTTTTCACACTTTTTTCTTAAAATAAATCTTTTCGCGATTTGTTTTTTTGTTGTTGTTTAATTACTTTTTTTCTAGCTTAGCATTTTTTTTTACCAATTCTTAAAAGTAAAATTTATTATTCTGAATAGATAGATGAATAGATGATTTGCGCGGAGATTTTCTTTCAACGTAAAATATTTTTGAATTTAAATTACTTTAAATCTGTGTGGAAAATTTTTAAAAGATCAGTAAAGCGAAAAGTTGAAAAAGGCAAAAGATGTTAATTCGAATTTTTTCTTCATTCTAACAAAACAGCCTGGTTTTTATCTTTGTTTATCAAAACTTCATGTTTAAAATAAGGCTTAAAAACGTTAGAGCAAAAAAATTGCTGACTTTTATTTGCATTTTTATACTGTTTGAAAAAAAAACTAATAAAAAAAATTAATTATTATTAATTCTAATAATTATTAATTAATATATTAGTTAATTCTTTTTTATTAGTTTTTTTTTAAATAGTAAAAAAGCTAATAAAAACCAGCAATTTTTTTACTTTAACGTTTTTAAGCCTTATTTAAAACATGAAGTATAATTCGATTTATTAAACCAAATTTTTTTGTTTCACTTTATATTGGAAAACAATTGAAATAGAAAAATTGAATAAAAGCATCAACTTAAAAACCATTTAAATGAAAAACTTAATTATATTTAAACTTTTATTAGCCCTTTATTCAAGAAACAATAAATTATAAAAAACGTGGTATCTAATTTTTTATTAAGTTTTTGACGATGTTTTTTGATTTATTGACAATAATTTTTTAATTTATTAAAACTATATTTATTTGCTTCGTTTTATTTTAAACACATTTTACGTTATTAAACTGTATAAAACAGCAACAAAACAGTGTCACGAAGTTGTTTTACATTAACACAAGCTATTTATATTTTAAAGACAACTTTTTTTTTATTGTTGTTTTATAGCTTTTTACAATAACAATTAAATACTCATTTAAAAACACGTGTTTTATTGTCAGCCTGATCGTATTAAACAGTTTTTTATGACTAATTAAAGTGGTTTAAATATTGTCGTGACGGATCCAGGAATTTTTGGTGGATGGGGATGTTAAAATATTTTTGAATTTTGTACCATGTTTGCGCCTTCTAAAAAAAAAGAAGCAAAAAACAATGTCGTTAATTGCTATGATATTTTCAAGACTTTCAGATTCTGGTGGGGAGAGGGGATGCATACCCCCATCCTCCCCCTGATTCCGTCACTGAAATATAGTAATGTTTGCTTTTTACTCTTATTTTTTTACTTTTACTTTTTTAAGTATCATGTTAAGTAAAAACAATTACTTAACTAATAGTATTAAATAAGTTACTTGCTCATTACACTGTAACTGCAACTTAAACTATAAGTTGTAAATTATAACAGTAACTTACACTATTTTAAACTCCGCCAAACAAGAAAATCATAAGATAACATTTAAATATGAGAGACAGTATGTTAAAAGATAACAATTAAGTGCTAAAGAGACAATTTTATACTAATGCAATCCTCTCCCCTTATTACCGCACATCGGCGCGAGCTATAAGAGAGAGAGAGGGGGGGGGGGAGCAAAAAAAAAATTTTTTTTTTGCGCTTAGATTTTTTTGCGTTAATTTGAGCCTTGTCTTAGTTTAATTTCTAATAAAAAGTCTATTCAACCTTATCAATTTGAACCAAAAAAATATAGCAAAATTAACATAAATGTTAATTTAACTAAAACATTTTACAATAATTATTTTTTTTATCAAGCGAAAATGAGAATAACCGTCACCTTCGAAACCATAAAAATGACTGAAGTAAATTTATTTTTATACTGAGGAAATATTTTAAATAAACTTTTATGTGTCTACATTGATATTCATTTGTTAAAAACTGACTAAAAAGAGTTTAAAATTTGACTTTTATTCATTTTTGGCCGTGGAATTGCCCTTATAACACAAATATATAAATAAAAATTATTAAAATCATTTTAATATTAACATTTTAACATTTTGTCTACTTTGTTTAATTTGACATACAAACGTTAGTTTTTTGAGGCAATAGAGTCAATAAACTTTGGACAAGACACATTTTTTTTAATCAAAGAAAAGCATTTTTTTGAAAATTAAATTTGTTAGTGTGTGTTCATTATTACGTTTTAGAAAAAATAATATACATCAAACTTTCTTTTTTTTAATGCTCTTTCATATGAGATCATATTTTTATAGCACTTAGGGATCCCTTTAAGGGCTGGGTGGGCCCGAAAATTGGGGTTTTTTTGTCCCCAAGCTCAAATCACCACAACTTTATGCAAAACATTCTTATTTGACTTAAGTTTGAACATACAAATTTGGAGTTTGCAAAATGCGTGTAAGTGTCAAAACTCAAACATCTGAAAATCCAGTGTACACCACTGTATATATATATATATATATATATATATATATATATATATATATATATATATATATATATATATATATATATTATTATTATTATTATTATTATTATTATTTTTATTATTATTATTAAATACACTATTTGATAATTTATTTATTTAAAATATTTTAAAACGAGCAAAAGAAAAAAAAAAACTAAAAACCTACAAATCCATGAAATCTTCTAAGCTTTTGTCAGGAGTAAATACATTAAGCAGCCCAATAATCTACAAAATAAAATTAAAATTATCTCAAAGAATAAAAAAAAATATTAATAAAATAAAGAAAAAAAGAAAATGACTCACATTTTTATGGTTTGTAATTTTCATCAATTTCAACTCGCGGAATGCTCTCTTTGCATGAGTTACATTTTGAAAAGGTCTACTTAACTTTTTTATAGCAACTTTTTGTTTTATTACTGTATCATATGCGGCACTAAAAAATGAAACTTTTATTAAAATTTTTAAGCATAACTACTATACATATGCCACTCTTCTCTGTTTAAAATTAAACGCCAGCAAACCACAAAAAAATGCTGACCAGATGGTCAATTTTAGGCAAGTGTGCACAATTTTATTTGCATTTAGTCTTTTATTTTTATTTTCTATTTAAATTAAAAAAACAAACAACAGAAAGAATGCTACAAAGAAAATCTAAATGAAAAAAATTAAAAAAAAAACACAACAACAACAAAACAAATTAAAATTCTAGATAAAATAATTAAAATATAAACTGCAAAAAAAAAAAATAATAATTTAAATTCTAAATAAAATAAATGCATTAATGACAAAACAAATGTTTTATTTAAACTCTAAATGCGCTATCTAAAGTTTTAGAGGGGCAAGGGCAAGCGCAAAAAGATTTGAGCCAAAAGTGCTGGCTAAACAGAGAAGACTGATATGTTTATTTTAATATATTATCCGTATAGTTTTATATTTTATTAGCTATGTTTAATTAAAAAATAATATCAAAAATTTTAAAAAGTAAAACCTAAGCCCGCATTCTATATAAATCATTAAAAAAACTCTTCTCAGCACTTTGAGATCTTTATGAATATCAATTTTTTATTTTAAAGCACCATAATTACGTTTAAATTAAATAAAAAAGATATATGTGTAATGTTTGCCTCAATAAATCAATAACACTTGGTAGTTGTACTAGTGGTAGAACAGTCAGCTCACAATTAATGCTCATATCCACCTTAAACATCTAGAGATACCAACATGTTTCTCTGAAAAGTGACCTGAAAAGTTTGGTTTGTTTTCTATAGTTGAGGATTGAGGGAGCTAGTTGAAAATTAAAAAATAATTGAGGTGACTTTTGACCACCGGAATACTTCAAATTATATACCTGTAATAACAAAGTTATAGTGCTCTAACAAATTTTTAAATTGATTTTTTTATCTGAAATTGGGAAGACTATTTAAAATCAAAATCCCATAAATTAGCTAAATGAAAAATTTAATATCTCAAAAACCATAGGAGGTAAGATACTCAAATAAGATTTTTAAATACTTATAAGCCTTGTAACATATGTAAAAATTAACAAAAATCAAAAAGATAGGGTTACAATTGTCTACTGATTGGAACTGATTGGCATATAATGACCCATCTAACTATATAAAAGCAATCAAAAACTATAAACAAATTATTTTTGCTTCTGTAGAGATGACCTATTCTATTAAGAGGTCAATTCTTTTAAATATTTCAAACTTAAAAAAGTTTATTTGAATGGACTATACTATGTGATATAGCACACTATGTGATATATATAAAAATATTGATTTCCAATCAATATTTTTATTTGTCAGACAAGTTATCAAAAACTATACTAAACAAGGACATCATAAGTTGGTTTAACTTTTTGTTCAAATTTTCTGCTTTTCTTTTTTTTAACATTTTTCAGTGCAGTTATTTAACTATATATTTAACTATAATTTGTTTTCTCTAGTCTTGTATTTTAAATCAGTTACCAGATTTTAAATTCTCATTTTTTTTATTAAAACATCAAATCAAACCTATTTACATTTTTAATGCAAGATAAAGGTTAAATAACATCATATAATTTATAACAAAGCCAGTAAATGAAATGTTAAAGATACATTTAAAGTCCTTTGAGTTGTACAGATACAGAGGTTTATAAAGTGTTGTAATAACTCTCATCATTTGAGCAAATTCTTGCTCAAATGGTGAGATCTAATCCGTCAGGTATTACTGTACTAATCTTTTTTTCTGTAAACCAACATTGCATTTTAAGAACCATATTAATGAAGGAGAAAATAATTAAGAAAATAAAGATAAAAATATTTTTTTTAAATGCTTTTATATCTGTATCTCAACTGAAAATGATTATATCTGTAACACAAGTGAAGTGAACTGTTAATCAAAAACCAAAAAAGTTTTGAGATAAAATTTGCAGGATTTGTTTTCTCGTTGATATATTAAACCATTATATTAAAATCTTAAGTAAATCATGCAGATTTTAATCCACTTTTAAATCATTTAAAAAATTTTAAATTTTATTATAATCAACATAATTTAAGGATATAAATTTGGAAACGATTCTACCAATATTATTTCCAATATATTAAATAAAAATTGTTTTTAATAAATTAATTGCAATCATCCCAAATTCTACTGTATAATACAATTGTTTTATAATCCATAGTTCTCATTTTGTATGACAAAAGATAATCAAACAGAGATAATCAAACTAACAAGCTTAAACCCTAACCTGTCTATGTGAACTCAAAGATGATTTACTAAAGTTCAATCTTTTGTAACCTGCTGTAAACTAAGAAACTGTTAATTAATTAATAAATATTTTTATATTAAATAACTTGTAGCAAAATCTAAGAAATCTTTCTAAACCCAAATCAAAATAGCCTTAATGTTTAAAAATTCAATTTTTTAATTCTGAAAAACATGAAATCAATCAGCTCTTTCAATTTTGTAATGAGCTTAAAAGCATAAGTTCATCATATATTGCCAACTTATAGATGTTTAGGCTGTTAATGCTAGACCATATGTACAACTCAATTAAGTTTGTTTGCAGGTTTATTTTTGCCAATTAAAACAACTATTGATATCTTCGTATTGCTGAAGAATACAAGCTATACTGACATGCAAACTATAATTGGTAATTAGGCAAACTTTATGGTGGCGTATTATAAGTGTCGACCTGAATTTATAGGGCTGATTGACTTTGCTTTTTTTTTTAATTTTAAATCTATTTTTTATGCTATTTTAAATCAGCATAAACAATTATAACTATATGTAAAAACATAATGCATAACTGATGATACACATAACAAATTGCCTTAAAAAGGCAGTCAAAAGTGCTTTATACTTACTTAACAATGCATAGTTGACATAGTAATTTTCATCATTATGCTTTATTACCAAATCCTTTACTTCTCTCAATCATGTCATAAAAAATGCTACTGATTAAAGTTTTTTTTTACGTAGAAGTTTATTTAATTGGTAATATTATAAATGCCATTTTGCATAAATTTTCCCAGCAATAGCAATTTTGCTAATAACTTGTTATTAAATAATTTATAGTATTTCAATTTCAATTTACATTAGAGTTTTTTTAAAAAACTTACCAAACCATTCCTTGAGCACCAGAACCTATAGGGTGAAGATTTTGATATCGATTTAAGATAGTAAATATAGTATCCCCTATCTGAACTGAGTAAAACATTTCGTAGGCAGCAAGCTTTAATATATCCTTTTAAAAACTTTGATGCTTTGGAATAAAATATTAAGTGAAATTTATTGTTTGATTTGTAAAATATAGTATTGCAGTAAAAAATGAAATTTTTTTAAGGACTGCATGTTTTCAAAATCCAAAAATCATTACTCAGAATAGTTTTTAAAAATTCAGGTATACTCTTCGGCAATTTTATTGAGCAGCCATTTGGGTTTGCATAATTTCGTTTAAAACTTTTTAATAGCAGAATTCCATTATGGTTTTACTTACCAAACTAAATTACTTGAAGTCCAACATACTGTTGAAGCAAACAGCGTGAGTGTTTGGTTTGTTTTTACCTTTTAGCGCATGCGTGTGTTCTAAAAGTAGTGTGCAACTCCTCCGACAAGGCTCCACAACATGCTTCGTTCGGCATTATTCAACTTGTGCTCGGTCAAGTTCGATACGGTTGAAGCAAAGCAAAAGCATCAACTCAGCTAAAAATCATTCGCATTGTGCACTTTATTCAGTTTTTTTTCACACTCGTGTGTTCTGTTACAAATAATTGATTTGCAACTACTTTTTTTTAAAAAAAGCTAATCAGTTGGTACTTCCCTGCTTTAATTTTTTTTTTAATTTTTGAAATTTTAATGGTATATATTTAAAGCAAGAAAAATCAATTCAACTCAATTAACTCTATCTGTTTTTTTAAATAAATTTTATTCTAATTCTAATTTATATTAGTTATTTTTTTTATTTCCAGCTGAGGTACAAAAATTAATTTTTTAATATCCCAGTTTAAAAAAATTGAAAAACTTTTTGACACTAAGAGCCATTATAATAATTGAAGTTCACCGTTCAAATAAGTCTGGAGGATAGGGTATTGAAAAGTGTCACCAAATACCACAATGGAGCGAGGGTTAGCTACCGCGTCAAGTGACAAAAAACATTTTTAATTTAAATTTTTAACACAGCGTAACAGCTTAAATAGCAAAGTCAAATAGTTTTTTTTTTTATTAAAAAAAAACTTTTAAATTTTTTATTTATGCATGTTTTTCCTTGGGCTTTCACATCGTTTAAACCTCAATATTACTGAAAATTTCAAAAATAAAAATGCTTTGCAAAAAAGAAAAGCTTTACAAATCTATTTATGAAAGATATATACGGGCTTTGTAACAAATTTAGAAAAAGGTATTGAACCCAAACTGTTTCTTAAATGCATAAAATTAATCTAATTGAAATATTAAAGGCCTAACTTGCGTTACTGCAAAGTAAAGAATAATTTTGTTTTATTTGTTCCTTTTTTTATTGTTACTATTTTAGTAATACCATAAGTTATAAAGTAAGAAAGTATTCCCTAGAAAATACAACTTTTATATCTTTTTGACGATAATAATTTACGTAAATAAAAAAAAATGTCTTTTTTGTGGCTTTTAATAGTGGCTTTTAAACAACACATCAGATATACTCACACTTTCCCAATATACTTTGCTATAATTGCTCCGTATATACTTTTAATGTTATGCCTCTCTGTTTTAAACCATCAAAAACTATGAGCAATTTTTTTTACAAATACTAGTTTTTTTACATGTATAAAACACCACAAATTATGTTTTTGTAAAGAAGCGAAAAAAAAAGCTAGAAATCAAGGCTCTATAGTAAAAAATTTTTTTACTTGTTTTAAAATACTGTTATCGATCTTTTTGCCTTATAGTTTTTTTTAACTATTATTGTGACGAAATATTTTTATAAGGACTTTTTTATATTTTAGAACTTTTTATATTTTGATATTTTTTATATTTTTATATTTTAATTACTTTTTATATACTTCATATAAAGAATTTTTATATTTTTATATTAGGAGTATTATTAGGCATCATAATTAAAGATAGATATTATAAAAGTTTATATATATTTTTATAAGGTGTTAAAAAATTGTGGGATATGTCTAAGAATCTCTTTTTATAAATATTATATTTCAAATTTTGATAAACTTATATAAGTTTATAAAGTTTATATTATAAATTTATAAACTTTTATAAATTGTAGTGTGCTTTTAGAAGATAAGCGCCGATCGCACAAATCTTCACAAAGGCAAATTTAGAAAATTGTCTTAGATTTGAGTTATTTAAAATGCAACAATTATGCTGAATACTTTCAATTAACATAGACGTAATTGCGTAAGTATTTTTTGAACTTGGTTCATGACATGTATCACGTTCAAAATATACTTACGAAATTGCAAAAAACTATTTTCAATGATTTAAAAGCAAACTAAGTTATTTTACACAATAACTTACTTTGTTTTTAAAATATTAAAAACACTTTTTTGGTGCTTTTATTTATTTAAGGTGGCATAACTCATCAAAGTGATCTTAGAAGAGAAACACTTTTTTGTTAAAAATAAAATTGACCCGGTGAGAAATCGGCTAGCGATTAGCTAGCTATAATCGTTAGACAGCGATTTGGCCACGAGGATCGCTAGCTTTTTTAAGTTAGCAAAAAGCTATTGATATTTGTAAAGATAAAGACAGCGATTTGGCTACACTTTTTGTCTGCTCACCCCCTCCCCCCCCCTCCCGCAGTTTCGCCACTGAGAGTAGTACTGACATTTACTTAAAACTAAAAACAGAGGTGTTCAATTTAATAAATTTTAGTTATAAAGAAGTATATTTAGAAATATATATTTTTGTCTTTACTTTTATTATGATTTAATTGATTAGATAATAAAACAAAGTTTAAGTTTTTAGCCTCCCCCTTCCCTCCCCTTTTAATATAGATTTCTCCTAAGAAGTAAATTACCAGTGTTTTCATTGGTTGATTTTAAAGTGAACGCGCGTTTTTTCCGGACCGTTTGTAAGATGTTTAGAAATGCTAAACTGTTTATAAAAATATGTATTCGTAAAAGTTGCTGAGGTTTTTAACATTGTTTAAATATCCATTGTATTTTTTCTAGATGCATTACTACTTTAATTAAAGTTAGGAATTACTTAACTAAATCATTTTTATTTATAATATCTTGATTATGTGTTGTTTGATCAAATAATAAGCTATAAATGTAACATAAAAGAGTGTTATAAAAGTAACAACACTGTAGTGTTATTACTTTTGTAGTCATAAATTTATTGTTTTGTTTTTCATAACATTTTCACTAACAAATTAAAGTTTATTCGCCTATTCCGTAAATTTCGTGGTTTTCCATAAACTTAAACTTTGAAGACCAGATAATTTAACAGATATCGCAAATCGCGATGCGTTAGTTCAACCCTTGTATTCAAATCTGATAAGTAAAAATGTTTTTTTGTGACTGAATTTCTCCAAACAAACTCAAGTAAAGTTTGTAAATAGCTTGTAAATAAAGCTTGTAAATTAAGCCTTATAGCACTTTGTTTTCTTTTATTGTAATTCTTGTCTCAATAGAACGAAATGCTCTTGGTAATGGCATTTTTTAATTAAAAAAGCGCGATAAAAATGAAGAGTTAAAGTATAAATAATATTATTTTGACAAACTCTTCTTAAATTTTAGGTTTCATGTTTTTTAATGTAAGGTTGTACAAAGTTTTATTAATTTCTTAATTTAGATTTTTATTTAATTAATTTAGAACTTTTGTTCGAAAATACATTTAAAACAAAAGAACTTTTTATTTACTTTTTAGATTTTGCGATTTGCTTTTTTCTCTTAATTAGTTTACGTATTTAAAATACGACTCAACCCATTATATGTACCTTATACAAAGGCACATAAACACTTGCTCAATTCCAGATAACGAATTAAAAAACAATAAAGGAACCTTTCCAGCTGTAACTCTTGTGTGTCATTAATAATTAGCGTGCTAATTATTGACAAAAGTCACAAGTTGTGATTTTCTATTATTGTAACGTTTTTTTATTATTTGTCGACAAGAGTCACAAGTTGTATTATATGCTATATAAAGCGAACAATTTTTTTTGTAAACGTCAAACAAACTCAAGTAAAGTTTGAATATAAGTAAAAGAAAACGTCAACAACAAAAAAATGGCTTTTAAATGTGTCGAACAACAAGCTAACCGGCCATGTCTATTATCTCCGCATTATGAATATAGACAGCCAAAGCGATTTGTTCGACAGATGACTTCCTTCTTTGCAATAAACAATATATCTTCAGATCAACACGTAGCGTTTTTGTTTGCCGCTCTGCCGTTAAAGACTTACAAGACCATGAAAGAATTAACAGCACCGGAAGTTCCAGAGGATGTTTCGTACGAAGAATTGGTAACGAAATTGGAAACGTTGGAAATAAGAAAATCATCGTTAATCTCACGGTATGATTTTGGAAAAATTTACCGAGGTACTGAAGAATCTATACAGACGTTCGCGCATCGAGTGATTTGAGCAGCTCAAGACTGCAAGTTCTTGCTCTCAGAGAGAGACGGCCGACTTCGTGACCAATTCATAATTGGCATTAATGATGGTGCCATTCTGCGTGCCATTCTTCGGGGAGACGATGCATTAAGCTTTGACGATTGTGTCAAGACTGCATCCGTGGTTGCACAAACAAGATTAGATGCGGCATGTTTATCTGTAAATGAAGAAGTAAATGCGATTCACCGGACGACTGGAACGACAAGTTATACACGAAGCAAGAAATTCGATGTTACAACTGTGAATCCTTAAATCTCTTTGCACGTGAATGTTCCTCTTTATGCAAAAAATGCTTGCTGCAAAAGACTGCTACAAACATCAAAGAAACCAAGAAAACTTAAATGGGACGAGTTCGCATTAGGTATCTTTACAAGAACTCGTCCCGAAACACGACTACCTACTATTGACTTGGTAATAAACGGAAGAAAAGCTACAGCGCTTGTGGATACTGGTTGTTCGCAATCAATCATCACCAAGAAGTTACTGCCGCCTGACTATAAAGTGATTCGTGTAGTAAATGTTGCAACAATGGGCGGAATAATTCGATGCGAAGAAGTTAGTGCTAAAATATGCCACCCAACTAACGGGTGCTTGGTGGATGTGGTGGTTCTTAGTGTGAATGAAGTAATAAACAAATACGATATGATTATGTGTATGGACTTAATAAAGACGTGTGATGGACTACAAAATTGGCACTGAAAAACTGAAATTGTGTAATTCTTTGATTGAGTTGTCATCAAAACTTCGTGTTGCGACAATTGAAATTGGAACAAGCAAATCTTATGGGAAAACCTAAAGGTCTACTACCGTTAATGTGTGTCATTCAAGATAATAAAAAGAAGATAAGACCTGTGCTTGATTATCGTGAGCTTAACACGAATGTAAAAGCCTCTGCAAGGGATGCTGATGTCATCAATGATGCAATGAGGGAGTGGAGACTCATGAGTAAAAACAGCAATGACTCGGTAGTGGATCTAAGAAGAGCATATTTACAAATTCATGGGCATAAAAGTCATTGGCCTTACCAGACGGTCATCTATAAAAATCAGCGATATGCACTTACACGTTTGGGCTTTGGTTTAAGTTTGGCACCAGTGATGATGAGCTCAATATTGCGGTATGTTCTCCAACAAGATTCTGCACTGGCAAAAACAACAAGAGGATACATTGATGACACCCTAGCAATCAATGGAAATGGAAGAAAGCTGGTGATACATATGAAGAAATGGGGTCTTCATGCAAAAGCACCTGAATATTTTGACGAAAACCCAGTTCGTGCACTAGGATTAGAAGTCACAGTAAATCCATTAACAAAGGAGATGTTTTGGAAGAGAGGACGCGAGCTTCCTATTATTAAATCTGTGCTCACAAAGAGAGATATATTCTCATTATGTGGTAATCTGATTGCTAATCTACCAGTTGCTGGAAGGTTGAGACTGGCATGCAGCTATATAAAAAGAGGTACAAACGAAGCAGGTTAAGATGAACCTATTAAGAATAAGTATGTTATCGAAATGATGCAGGAAGTTGTAGATAAAGTCGTAAAATGCGATCCGGCAAAAGGTGTATGGAGTGTTAAACCAAATGCATCTCTGACTGTATGGTGCGATGCAAGTTTGCTGGCAAATAGAGTTATGATAACGCAAAGTGACAGAAAGACAGAAGATGCGACATGGCTCCGACCAAAGTCTGATGCAATGCATATCAATGTGGCCGAATTAGATGCATGTATTGAAGGCCTAAATGTGGCATTGAAATGGAATCCAATTAATGTCTCTATTAAAACTGATTTTCATAGTGTATTTAGTTGGTTAAATTTTGAATTGACTCGTGACAAACCTGTGAAATGTGCTGGGCAATGCGAAATGTTAATTCGACGAAGACTTCAAATATTTGAAAAATTGGTCGAGGATTATGTCATAAATGTAACTGTTACATTGGTACCAACAACTAAAAATATTGCAGATGAACTCACAAGAGTGCCAACAAAATGGATAAAAAACAAAGTTGCAACACAAGAATTTAATACCATTTATAAGTACGATAAACAGCAGATTCGAAAAATTCATTCACTAGCACACATGGGATTTTCTAAAAGTATAGAGTTATGTATGCCCGCTGGTATCCATGAATGTAACTCAATTGACCCTAATGTGATGTTGTGAGATAAAGGAAATCTTGCTGTCAGCAAAGTATGGGAAAGAGTAGCCTGCGATGTTACTCATGTTGATTCATCGCTATATCTCACTTGTATTGATTGCGGCCCAAGCAGATATACGTTATGGACACCATTAGGCGACGAAAGTGCAACTATGGTTGTTCAAGCGTTAGAAACAATATGGTCAACACTTGGACCTTCTTCTGAAGTTCTTCTAGATAACTCTAAGTCATTTAGATCTCAACTTATGCAAACTATGGCTGCGAAATGGGAAATAAGGCTCGTCTATCGAGCTGTTGAAAAACCATCGGGAAATGGAATAGTTGAAAGAGTTCATCAGACGGTAAAAAGAACAAATGCAAGAGTAAAATGTGGTATTCCCATGTCTGTATTTTTAATCAATAACGTTCCATCAAAACACGGCACACCTTTTGAAATATTTTGCCAACATCACAAACGAGTTCGAATTCCTGGAATCGATAAAATCAAATCAACACAAAAGTCGATGACAGAGTGTTGTGAATGGAAAGTTGGCGACAAAGTGTGGGTGAAACCCAAGCACATAAAGCCGTGTACGCAACGATGGCTGAAAGGAAGTATAGTGGCATTGCATAATGGTTTAACAGCTGAAGTTGATGTCAACGGACATACGTTACCGCGACATTTTTCTCATCTGCAACATCGTCGTGTAGACACAAAAGAAGAAGATACAACAGATGATTATGATTCAACACTATTTAAACTTCCTGAAACGAGCTCAAAACACATTGTCAATAATGATCCAAATCTTCAAATAATTCCTCCGGATAATGGTAAAAATGACAATAGTACGGGCAGCAGATGGTGAAACAGAGTCACAGCCTGTTCAATTCACTCGCTATGGGAGGAGAGTACTTCCTAATCGGAAGTACAGCGATTACGTATGAGCTCTTGTTGAGCTAAGGGAGATGTTGTGTGTCATTAATAATTAGCGTGCTAATTATTGACAAAAGTTGTGATTTTCTATTATTATAACGTTTTTTTATTAATTGTCGACAAGAGTCACAAGTTGTATTATATGCTATATAAAGTGAACAATTTTTTTTGTAAACGTCAACTTTGTATATAAGTAAAAGAAAACGTCAACAACAAAAAAATGGCTTTTAAATGTGTCGAACAACAGTAACTTACACTGTTTCATTAAATTATCTATTATTTTTACCAAGTTCTTTTACATCTGAGGATATGAAGACCTACAAATCATGGAAGCGTTTAAATAAGAAATAACATATTTAGTAAATTTTTTAGGTGCTTCATTCTCGAAATCTAAATGATACCCAAAAAAATCCATGGATATTTGTAGAGTTTAATAACCACACTGTAATTACAAGACAGGCCTCGCTGAAGCATCTACACATATAGCTGCAGTTTTATTTTGGATTGATATACCTGTTAAAATGTAAACCTAAAACAGTAGCTGATTATAATTCTTAATGGTTACCACCAAACCCACCAGTAAATTTAACAACAAAATGTTTTTTGTTGTTAACTTTACTACAAAAGAAATTCAAAAAAAGTATCCTTATCCTTACAAAATTTTGAAACTAGTGAACCTAAACACATTGAAAGCAATGTTTTATCATTTCGGGATCAAATTTGTTATTGTCGCATCAGTTCAAAAGATGGCGATATGATTGTAAGATGTACCGATATACGTTGTAAAATTAAAAAATCGCTAAAGGTAAATGGTTTTGGGACAAATAACATTTACCTTCAAGGATGTTATTTTTAAATTATTGTTCAAATTATTTACTAATTAAAGGCTACTAGAGTTAACCAAAAAGCACATACTGAATAAACAATTTTATCTTATGTTGTATGAGATTCTCCAACTTTAGTAAATAAAAAATCAACCGGTATCAATTCAAAGTCAAAAAACTCTTTGTCAAATTTTACAATTTCAGGAAGTTTAAAAAATCTAATTTTCTGGTTGTTTTTTTTTAATTTAGTTTCGATATATAATTTATAACACCTATTATATAAGGGTTAACCGGAGGATTTTGTGCAATTCCGGAACAACAACATTCTTTCGTAAGGAGATTGAGAACGAGAAATTATATTTTTTTCGTACCAAATACTACAAAACATTTAAATTCGTCCATGTTCATTTCGCAAATGCTACTTCCGAAATTTAGCATTTCGCAAGTTGACATACGAAATAAAACTATTTTGCAACATACGAAAGTAGCTGTTTCGGAAGTCGCACTTGCGAAACAAGCATTTTCGCCAAACGACGTTTTGAAGTCTATACAGAAAATTTGTTTGCCAGACTGATTTTAATTATAAAAATTAACATCTTTAAATTCCAAAATGTTTATAATGAATTTTTATTTTTAAGTATAATGACATATTAAATTTTTATGTTTTTTTTTTAGAAATATTGATAAAAAACAAAATTTCTTTCGAAACGAAAGTATTTTGCATCACAACATACGAAAGAATTTATGTTTTTTAAACTCATTATGTAAAAGTAAGAATGATGGGGAATATGTTTTTTTTTAAAAAGCATATGAAATTATTGAAACAGGTTCGAATATGCTTAAGCAGAAAGTAAAAAGAGGCTCAATATACCTATACCTATATACCTATTTCAATAATTTCTAAAAGTGTGGTTAATGGGTATAAGAAAAATATAATGTTTAATGGGTATAAGAAAAAAATAAAAAGTTGACTTAGGCTCTGTATTTTTGCTTTGGTTTTAATGTAGCTGAATTAATGTTGTTATAAACTTCGGTTTTTGTTGGTTTAAATTTAGAAATATATATATTTAAAGTTTTTAATTAATTTGCAATTGTTAATTAAACGTTTATTGAATGCTTTTAAAAAGTGTTGATCAACCGTTAACTGACTGCGGAGTTTCGTTAACATTTGCAACGGTGCTTTGAAGGATTTTTTTTTCGTCGATTTAACTTAATTGATACTATTTTGTTTAATACTTTTTGCATTGAATCCAATGAATAAGAATTAAGTTTTATTTGTAATTTATCTTAAAAGAATACCCTAATAATAATGTCTAATAGATCCTTGATGATTTTCAAAAAGTAATGACTAAAAACTTGAGTTAAAACTTACATTTATAGATACAAATTAACACTATTTCTTCCGTTTTTATTTATCTAGTAAATAATTAGAAACAGATTAAATTAAAAATATTAAATTAACAAGTAAAATATTTTCTGCAATTAAATCTTTTTTTTAATCAAAACGATGTTATTTGTTATTTTATTGTTTTTCTGTCATTTGACGTTCAAACAGTGTGCCATGCATACGTTGCCACTTTCCTATTGCGGTTGTTACATCGCTATCTTTAGCTGATTCATCTTGTAATTTGATGGCATCTTAAAATAATAACACAATAGAAACAAACAATGATACATCGGATTAAATAATAACATAATATTATACAGGGTGTCTGCCAATATTTTAAGATGGATTTCCCTGACTTTTCCCTGTTTCTCAACCTGTTTTCCCTGACTTGATTTAAAGCTACAAAAGCTCAATTTATAATTCTTTTAGAAAAATGCTTTCAATTGCAAATATATATATATATATATATATATATATATATATATATATATATATATATATATATATATATATTCTAGAAATAAAAATCAACTTGAAGATATTAATTTTGTAATATTTCTGCAAAATAAATTTCAAATCACAAGAATTTTAGCAAACATGCTAAGCATCAAATCATCGAAATATTTTGTGAACTATAATAGCATGTTATTTTATTATTTAAAATTTATCAAAAGAAAAATCATTGATGTCTTCCATAGGTTAAAATCTTCATGCTTTTTTTGAAATAAGTTTCCGCAGGGTTTTTAAATGGCGGTCATTTATAATTATCGCTCCGTAAAATTAGTTAAAATTTTTTTCTTGTTTTTATAACAAATCTATAAAAGACATCTTATAGACATCTAAGTTTAGATGAAAAAAAAATGTCTATGCACGATCTATTTATTGCATCTAATATGCATCTAAAACAGAGCAAAAATAGTATCTCTAGAATCAGACGTCTTTTCTATCTCTAATATACGTCTAAAATATACGTATCGGCAATAGATACAAATTAGACCAATTTTAGACGGTCTAAAAGACGTCTATTGTTTGCTGATATCAGCCTAATTTTATCTGAAAAATCATCGACCCTAATATTATTAATAGAAAGATCTGGTATGTTTTCTTTAATTCCAATAACATGTGGAAGAATTTTCTCTAGTTACATCTAAAAAAAATCCTATATGTAACAAAGTCTGGTTTAACGTATTGGTTTAATAGTTATTATTTTTTCCAGGTAAAAACACTTCTTAAAATAGGATCTTTATGTACCAACATCTGGTTAAAATAATGCGTTAATAGTTATAATTACTTTCCAGATGCAGTTACATCTCAAAAATCTCTATACGTCACAACATCTGGTTAAAATAACGCATTATTTGTTCCAGATGTAACTGCATCAACGAATAATTTACTGTGCGGTTGCCCTTTAATCGTTTAGGGTAGATTGCAAGAAGCAAACTTGAATAAAGTTCTACTTTAACTCTAAAGTCTGGCTTTGTCAAGTTAGACTTTAAAAAAAAAGCTGTAGCAAATGCGTAATTAAAACTTGAATATAATAAAATCGTTCTTGAGGAGGTGAAACTTGAAACACTTAAAAGACAGTCGGGGTCGGAAAGCAAAATTTTGCAACCAATACAAAGTTGGCCGGAATTCACTTTTACTGTAAAAAAGTAATAACTAATCAAACATTTGGTCTATATTTACTAATTTTGGCATGAACACTTATATGAGTTGTGCGCTTCTTACGAGAGTAATATTTTATTATTTTGTTGCGATGCACACCTAATTTTGCTCAGCAACAAATAATATCTTGGTAAATGAAGCTGTTTGCGTGTTATGTACATTATAATTAATTTTTGCATTAATATAGAGTATGCTATTTTTATTAAGTAGATATAATTTTAAGGTTGTCATGGTTATCTAGTTTCATTGAGAACTAGTTTACATAGCAACAACCTATTTTGGTAGTTGTACTTTTTTTACGATTGCTATATTCACTAAATATAGATTGATTATCAATATACTACATAGAAGTCATATTTTTTTTTAAATATAGTTGCTGTGGATACCTATAATGGTTAAAAAAAAAATTTTCAATAGATACATACAGGTAAAATGATTTTTAAATATAATTCACTCGGATTTTCAAATGTTATTTTTTAAATAACTATTAAATATTAGATAATTAATATAACGAACAGATTCAGGTCTATTATAATAAAAACAAAAATATTGCAAGGAAAACATTGACAATTTGAAACACATCAACTATTTATGAAATACTAGCAGTAAGCAACCCGTAATACGGGTTAGTATTAAATAAATCATTGCTAACAATTTGATTTTTATTTATTTTCTCTAATGAAATATCAAATAATTTATACATTTTTTCAGTTGTGCTCACTTTTATTTTTCTTGGCTTCTTAGTTTAGAAGAACTCTTGGCTTCACTAAAGTTGACCATTTCTTTTACAATGTTCAGACATTAAATGCGCAAATCACAACCATGTAAAGTTAGTATATGACTTGAATTATATGCATAGATCATCGATGTCAAATTTCCTGATTCCGTAAAATTGTTCAGGTAAATATTCGGAATATATTTTACTTTTAACTTTGCTTTAAGCGGATTCTTTTTTCTTCAAAGTTTTCATTTTACCAAGTGAAGAGCTTAAAAATATCACTAATATTGCACCTGAACTTTTCAATATTTTTAATATACTTTTTAAATATTTTTAAA